TGTGTTTGGTACTGGATGGGGCCAGAGGGGGCAATTTGGAGATGTCCTCAGAAGGGCACCTTAAAAATGAAGCCAACAGACCCTTGTCCTTTGGCATCAGCTGAATTTATGTGTCTCAAAGAAGTGTGTTTGCAGAGCTTTTCTGCGAGAGTGATGGGGCTCTATTGCTTCAAGCATTCCTCTGCAAGTGTCCTTCCATCATGTTCCAACAGTTGAGGCACTTTCCCTCGTGCATGGCACATGGAATAATAAAAAAATTGCACACATTTTCTTCAACTCCAGCCAAGCAAGCAACAAAGGTTGGTAACGAGCTAGCCAGAGACAGGCGCTGATATTCCAGTAATGCGAAAGAGGTGCCAAAAATAATACTGAAAGCAAGGTTGCTCACATTCAGATGCTTGATGGAAAAGCTGAACACGCTTCTGGAACTGCAACACAACATCAGGTGATTACAGGGTATTCATAATTTAATAATGACAGGACCATTTAGCCAAATGACTAAGCTCTTGTGGCGAGCCCCAAAAATAATTCCACTCCTTTCAATTAGGACAGCCATCAGTTTAAATATAGGGAGTGAGAGGGAACCTAGCTAAATAGTATCATAAAACTCTAAGGCTTGTACTGAAACACAACAGAACTGTGCAAATTGGAACAGGAACCATAATGTAACACAGTGTACTTCCCTGGCTTGCTCCTTCCAACAATTACATTTTCAAAAATTGCAGTTATTTCCATAATTGGAAATAAGTGTTTGGCTTTTGCTGACAGACATGGGTTTTTTTGCTATGCCTTTCTTGGCTTGGTTAAAGATCTCTTTCTACCTTCTTAAGTACCTTCTCAGCTTCTTAGCTTATGATCCCTGACTTGCTTCCACTAAATACAAGCTTTATTGATATTGTTGATTCTAACTTCACTAATTCAACGTCATGAAGACACGTGCACCTTTCTAAAATACAGCTATATAACTTGATGAAACTTGTACTTGAAATCAGAAATTTGAAATTTTTTTAAGGAAACATTTTTAGTTGTTAATTTATTTGAAGATTTCCTGTGCTTACTTAATTTTTTTCATTTATTTGTTACTTACAGATTTCCACAATGTTTCTTCCACTGCTTTTATGAAAAGTGATATTAAGCTTATTATCCAATAGCTAATCATATGATTTTTTAACCAATTTTCAGTTTTCCTGGAAGGATCTAAGGAATTTTTCAGTCCTCTGTAACTTCTTCAGTGATTAAGGGCCTGTGGAATGCTGCAGAAAGAGTGATGTCTTCACTTTACACCCAGGAGTACTTAGAGAACACTACCAGATGTTTCCAAATAAGCATAGAATCTTAGTATCATAGAATGGCCTGGGCTGAAAGGGATCTTAAAGATCATCTAGTTTCAATGTCCCTGCCATGTACAGGGACTCCTTCTACTTGACAAGGTTACTCAGAGCCCCATTCAGCCTGGTCCTAAACACTTCCAGAGGTAAGGCACCCACGACCTCTCTGTCAACCTGTCACAGTGCCTCACCACCCTCATAGCAAAGAATTTCTTTCTGTTACTTATTCAAAACTTACTCTCTTTCAGTCTGAAGCCATTTCCCCTTGTCCTGTCAGTACATGCTCTTGTAAAAAAGTCCTTCTCCATCTTTCTTGTAGACTCCCTTAAGGCACTGGGACACCACAATTAGGTGACCTCAAAACCTTCTCTCTTCCAGGCTGAACAAACACATTTCCCTCAGCCCTTCCTTGCAGGAGAGGTGTTCCACCCTACTCATCATCCTAGTGACCCTTCTCTGGACTCACTCCCACAGGTCAGTGTCCCTCCTGTGCTGGGACCCCAGAGCTGCTGCTGTCCTGCAGGTGGGGTCACAGCAGAGCAGAGCAGAGCAGAGGGGCAGAATCCCCTCCCTGCCCTGCTGCCCACGCTGCTCTGGATGCAGCCCAGGACACGTTTGTCTCTCTGGGCTGGGAGTGCCCATGGCTGGGTCATGTCCAGCCTCCCAAACACCAGCACCCCCAGGTCCTTCTCCCCAGGGCTGCTCTCCATCTGTTCATCCCCCAGCCTGTGTCAGTACTGGGGGTTGTCCCAATACAGGTGCAGCACCTTGCCCTTCATCTTATTGAACCGCATGAAATTCCCAAGGGCACGCTTCTTGAGCTAGGCCAGGTTCTCCTGCATGGCATCCTGTCCTTCAGGGGTGTCAACTGTACCACTCGGCTTGGTGTCATCTGCAAATCTGCTGAAGATGCACTGGATCCATTCATTTATGTCATTAATGAAGATGCTAAATAGCACCTTCAATACTGGTCCCATTAATGATCCTTGATGTGTGGTTTTGATTTTATTTGGTGGTTTTTTTTCTGATTAAAAGGAATTGTCACATCTTCATATGATACAAGCATAAAGTGTGGAGCCCTGTTCTTTGAGATACAACCTATCCTTTAACATCCACTTCCATCCACAGTTCTTCCCGTCTCTCCTCCCTCTCCCTGCTGTTCATTATTTCTCTCAGCTTTGACCAGATAGCCTTTTTAAAGCACATACATCACATATTGAACATAATCAGGTTATGATTGCAGGTCCCTAGGCAACCACCATCTTCCAGGCCAGTCATTAAGTCCTCTTTTCTCATCATAATGAAGTCCAAACTAATTACCTTATGTCATAGTCAGTAAAATTTTTCGGGAAAAAAATTCAATAATCTAATGATGTTCTACTACTGGCTGCATGAGATCCCAGCATCCCAAATTGAAGTTTCTAGGAAATGAGAATGGGAGCATTTTTTTTCACACACACCAGACATGCTTATCACCCCCTTTTCATTAACTTTATTAGCATACATGTTGGGACACCGACATTTACGATCATGCTGGTTTAAGTTATTCACCAACAGAAATCCACCAGTGATGTGTTTCTTCCCTACCAAGCTGTCCTCAGTATTCTGTAATTAACATTCCTGTCAAGCAAATTGTCTCCCAAGAATGTAATTATAAGTGAGAATTTTCCATTTCTTTTTTTTTTATATCTCAGATCCAGAGCTTATGAATACAGGCAATTAAAAATTGATTCTGGCAGGGTCTTTCTCAGCTAAAGGTGGAACAAATACCCTGCACCCTGAATTCTGTTCCTCTGCAGCTAAACTGCTTCTAGTACCTGGGCCAGCTCATTTAAATGTAGTCTGAATATCTCTAAATTGCAGACTGCCATGCTGAGAGACCTTTCAGCTCTCTGCTGAGTTCTGAGTGCCTTCACTACCTAAGGCTGAACTACTGCTCACACAAATTGCATATTGTTTCTGCTAGAATTATTACAAATGACCATTCACCAGTTAGAGAGTCCTCATTTACTGTTTTTTTTTCCTTTACAAAAATTAGCAGGTTCATGCATTACTTGTGGGGGACTGAGGGAGCTCTCAGAGTTTTCTGTGTGAAATACTGAAACAGAACTGAATGTTGTGTGCCTGTGCAGAAGAGGATACAGTTTTATTACATCAAACCTGGCTTGGTTCAGGACAACCATAATAATGGACCTCAGTGAAATGGCACTGACAGCTGGCTTACAGGTCTCAGGTTGCACTCTCCAAAGAAATACATAGATTGTATGTACAGTCAGTGCCAGCTCTGTTCATTAAAGCCCTCCATTTTTCTCCATTATCATTTAATAAATCCAAATAGAAAAAGCCCCTCTGTCAAGCTGCTGCTATTTTCTCTCAGAGTTTCTACTCAAGAGCTGAGCATCACGGAATTTTAAATATATGGACATGTTATGGTTATTTAGTGAGGAAAGTACTTGCTGGTGCATGTGGTGGTGTTAATGAACTGCTATGGCAAACACTGCTCAAGACACATCCTTACTGACACAGCAAAAATAAGAGGAGAGTGGAACAGACGATACTGAAGAGGCTCCTGCTACAAAACTCTTATAAATCATAATTCACACCTGAAACTGTGGTGTAAATGAGTGCTCCCCTTTTAACCCACAGGAAAAGATAGGACCAAAAAAAACCAACCAAGAATATGTAAGCAATACTGTATCTCTGGAAATATGGAGAGGAGAAACTACTGTTTTCTTCTGGACTATATTTTAAAAATACTCTGTCTAAACTATTTTAGAGTCTCTGGTTGTTTCTCTAGCAGTAAGTAATGAATTATTCAGCCGTGGCTTCTGAAAGTTTTGCTGTTCTGGGCAATATAGAAATGTCCAGGACAGGGACAAAATACTGAAATTGAAACTGAGAGTTAAATTGATGTGACTAACTGTGATGCCATGCAAGTTGAATAAAGGCCTTAGATGAGGTCCTGCTGAAGAGTAGTGTTATCCCTTGCTTTACTTCTGGAATGACAACTTGCATGACTTGTAATCTGAGACTCTGGTCCTATATTTTCTCCATCCTGGTTCCTCCAAGATCAATAATTCCCATTATGGCCTATTTCTGGTAAAGTGCTAATTTATTTTTCCTTTACTCACTCAATTCTGGCTCCTCACTGGGGAAAAAGCTGAGCAGGCCCTATTTGCCCCCTGTCCAGTGCATTTTGTTGGCTACAGTGATACTTTTGGCTTGAGTCAGTGCTGGCAGCCTCCTTCCCTTCAAGCCATGCAGCATCTGCTTCCACACCGGGGCTCACAGCAGCGAGAAGAGCAGCAGACAGCAATGGCCAAGCCCAGCCATTCCAAGTGAGCTGTAGCCTGCATTGTTGTTTATTGGCATAAACTCTTCAGCGTTTATGCCAATCCCCAAACTGTATCTGCTTCTTCTACCTTTCTCCCCTCCCTCCAGCACATGGGGCTTTCTCTCCATTTGGTAGCGTGAGTGATGGAGCAGAGATGGAGATAGGAAGGTGGCGGTGCAGCTGGGAGAGCAGGAGAGAGCAAGGAGGCACTTTTAAGAGCAAGTGGAGAGGAGGAAGAGGTTAACACATGTCTGTGTTAACAGCTGGATAATAGCTGGGTAATAGGCGGTGTCATAACCTCTGTATTAGATTGTTAATAGGGATAGATGAATAATAGGTGGTGTCATAATCTCTGTATTAGATTGGTAATAGGGATAGATGAATAATAGGCAGTGTCATAATCTCTGTGTCAATAGATGGATTTTAGCCCCTTCTTTTTCCAGTGCTCTCCAGGCAGGATGCTTAGTCTCCCTTCTGCCATCTGAAAAGAGAGCAGGAGAAGTCATCTCGCTTTTCTATGCGAATAAATTAAAAGCAAAGATAGTTTTGAATCGCACCTTTCAAAACTTATCCAGATAGCGACCTTCAGCTACATTCCCCGTTTAACAGCGCCGCACCTTGATGGTGAGCAGCACCTTGCAGGGAGACGGGCGCTGGGAGGCCCGGGACCCCCGCCCACTCCCCCTGCGGATCCAGTCCGTGTATTGCCGCCCGCAGCAGCCGGGCCGGGAGCCTGCGCTGGGCTCCGCTCCGCGTTTTCCGCCCGCCCCCCCTCAGGGGCCGGAGCCGCCGTGCCCGCAGNGGGCGGGGGCTCGGGGCACTCGTGTGAGGCGCTGGTGCCGGGTGGCAGCCCGCGGGGGGAGGCGGCAGGGACGCGGTCCCACGGCAGCGTGTGCCTGCAGGGCAGGTGAGCGCACCTCCGGTGCCCAGCAGAGCTGCGAGGCGCGAACGAGGTGCCCGTCCGGCCTCTGGGGATTCCCTGTCCTTCGTGTCTGCCTGGGGTTCCTCTGAATCGGGGGCTGGGGGCGGAGACAGGGGCAGCTCGAAGGGACGAAGAAGGGCGGTCTGATTTAGATCGTCTTCTGGCGCTGGTGCTGCGGTCCACCTGTAAGTTTTTTTCTTATTTTCTTTACGATCTGGTTGTAAAAGAAGCAAGTTAATAAGCGGTCCTGTGTTAGACATGTCTGATCAGCCGATGCGGCACGAAGTGTTTAATCTTGTTCAACATTGAAGAAAATTAAGTAAACGACAGTTTTTTTATCTTTATAGCATCTTGAGCTTAATATCTTATTGTAATGTATTTCTCTGCTAGAGCAAGCATAACAGGATACTAGAATTACAATATTTTTATATTTCTTTTTATTGCAGCTTGATCAAAGGTTTGTCTGTCCCTCTAAAGAAATCCATTACGTTTGGGATAAGGAACAGCCAAAGCTCTGCTTCAGTATTTGGGTGGGAGCACATGCTACAGCTGTTAACAAAGCCATTATACTGCAAATGGCATTGTATCCTTAGATACTAATCCAGCACATCATTCTGTGCTTGGGTGCGATGTAATAATAATGATAAAGCGTGCTGATAGTGCACAGTTTGATTTAAGCCAGCTCGATGTGTTCGGTTTACACCGTCTGACAAGATGCAAAGATAGTCACTGAGTTAGTCCTTGCATGTTGTCTCGTCCAGTTCGTCCATCATCACTCCACACACCCAGCTCTGTCTTTTCGTCAAAATGTCTGTTATCATTACCTGCTGAATAGGACTCTGGATGAGAGCACTGAAAAAGCTGTGTACACTGAGCATGCCTGGCATGTAATATTCTGGATGTGATTTGAAAAGCAATAAAGGTCCAGTTTAACTATACATATTCCTTACTGTTCTTCATGGAGTGAAATTTGTTGGCTGGCATCGAACTGCACCCATTTCTATCATCTCCAGTGCATTTATTGAATGAGGGAGCATTTTTCGTTTCCAGATCCTAGTGTAATGCTTTTACATTTCGTTCTTTATGAAATCATCATTTCCACTGCCTAAAGGTGTAGAGGGTCTTATGCTGAGCTTTGACACTCGTATTGAAGTGCATTAAGGTTTCTTTTAAATGAAGGATTGAGAGCTCTCTTTTTAATCAATATATATAGTTGGTCCACCCAAATTTTGATACAGGACAGTCAGATACAGTGGTGGAGGTGTGCAGTGGTTTTCTCTGAAAAGAGAAATTGAGACCCTCAATTACCTTTTCCAGGCTGCAGCCTTAAAATGACCTGCAGGAGGTTATTCATCCCAGAGTGAGTAGTTCAGCACTAGAACTCATTGGTGTGGGATGCTGTGCAGGTCAGCAGCATTAATGGTTTCTGAAAAGATTGGGCACGTTCACGGGAGACAGTTCTGCTGGTAGATAAATCCAAAAGGCAAGATGCAGCTTTCATCTGAGAAAGGTTTAAAGCCCATGTTTATGGGAAGCTGAAAAGGTGTTCTGGGAGAGGATCGTTTTACATGCCCCATGCTGTTACAGTACTTGTGAATCAGCTACTGTCAGTCACTTTTCATTTCTGAGAGAGAACAATGAACTAGAGAAGTCATTGATCTGTCTAATGTGGCTGTTAAATTTTTATGATAATTTGTGCATCAAATAGTAATACTTTGCAGAAGTGAATTTATTACACATAAGCATGTTCCAGCAGAGGAGATACAAAAGTGCATTTTATACTAGTAACAAAGAAAAGCACATAATAGAGATTGTTCAAATATGAATTGTTCAGCTTCAAATTGTGAAGCATACAATACTGGAAAAAACCCCAATCATAAAAGAAATTGCTTCTAAGAAATTAAATTGATTCTTTTTCCTTGCACTGTCCTGTATTATTTTTTCCTACAGTATTTTTTGAATTGTTGAAATGGTTTTCAGTACTACAACTAGGTTGGCATTGTCTATACAAAAAAGTGTGTTTTGATCTGAGAAAAATTAAATAGCAAACGAAGAAGTAAAGGAAACAGAAGGAAAATGTTGGAAGAAAAAATTACCTGTTAAGTTATAGCATTCTTATTCTTGCTGTCATTCTGCTTTTCATTTGCTTGCTTCTTTCAGGCTTTTGGTAACTGAACTAAAATTGCCACTACTTCAAAACATCTTTTTTTATTCATAATGTGGCATTGTGTATATCTTCTGAGAAATGTCAGTTCCAAAGAAAACTTCTATTTATATGTTACATTGGATTGAAATCCAACATCATAGGTGCAATAACAATGGGTTTCTTTAAATAAGGAAAATTATGTGAAACTGGTAAAGAAGTTTTATCTTTGTGATACTACGATCCCTAAAAATGGTTCCTTAACAGATTGCAGATACTTTACCTTTCTAATTATTAAATTAAAAAAACAAAACCCTCAACAACTTTTATATATATCTGAGGTTAATATGAGGTATAAATTATATACAAATAAAGATAATATCCAACTGAATTTTTTTTTCTAGTTTTAGTTGCAAACCAAGGATCTTCAAATCTTCTTATTCTAGCATTTTTACCATTTCCAAGTGATACTAAGCAAAGGGGGAGTGAGGCAAGAGAGGGAATTTCAGCCTACCCACTCTGATGACATTGCAGTTTTACTGAGATTTTTGAGGCTAGTGAGATAGAATGAAAAGCATATTATGAGGTCATTCGCAGGTAGTCACAGGAGAATACCCATTAAAATGAAAAGTAATGGCAGACTGAAATTACCTAATTTTAATAGAGTTGTAACAAAAGCACAATATAACAAAATGCACTGGACTTTGGCCAAGACACATTACATTTGACTACAGGCTGCAAAAGACTTATTTGATTATTAGTTTGCTTTCTGGCCTGAGAAGAATTTTCTGTGTTATGTTGCAGCCAGCTTCCCTAAGACATACAAGCACATTTAGATAAATGATATGAATAAAACTGTGTATTTCTTTCATATAGTAATGCAAAATGTATGTGTTTTATATCCTTCTCTAAGGGTTATGAAGGATGCTGTCAAGGTTATTTATCATGAGCATAAATTAGTATGGGCTTATAAATCCTGCTGAAATACAGTGTAGCAGCTAATTCTGTCTGTAATAGCAACCCTGTTAGCACTATCTATGATGACAAAATTATTTAGTAAATTTGTTGTTTGTATTTTTTTAAAGAAATTTTGTCTGTAATTTTTTTCTTCTCCCCCATCATCCACTTCCTCTCAGTCTAGAAACTGCCTAGAGAAAAAAAAAAGCAGGTGAAACATTTTAATTCTTTGCTGTGGATGAAACACCTGCTGGTCGCTCTTCCCCTGCCCTCAACCCATGGTCTGATTGCTCTTGATCAAAAGGATAGAGGATGGGGTAGAAAAAGAAAACTGTTCTTGGAGCAAGCTGTCATACTTCTTATGCAGTTCTGCCTTGAGAGCTGCTGGTTTCTGCTGCTTGGTGGGTTACAACCATGTGTGCTGAGCACTTTGTTTCTTGATCAAAGGGTTTCCCTCAACTCTCAGGAGGGTTTTCAGCCAAGGTATGTGGTGAAGCCTGAGTGAACAATATTAGTGTTTTGTCAGCTCAGGTCATCATCTGGGTGAATGGCCTTTCTTCTGAACTCTCCCTACATTTGGGACGCCTCCTTTAAACAACAGCCTGAGCTTTTTGCCTCTGGTGCCCAAGCAGAGTGATTAGTGCTGTAGAAGGGAATAGAATGCTACAGAAATTTATGAAATGACTGTATTATCTCTCACAGTTATATAGAGAAAGGGTAATGTACAGAAAGGCAACTCCTTCCACAAAACCAGTGGGAATTTTGGTCCCATTGGCATGGAGTTGATTGCTCCCACTAAGATTCTGTCCCCAGTTGAACACTTCACAGCAGCCACTCTTGAGTGGGACCATTTGAAAACTTCTGCCTAATTCAAGACTTTCATCTGATATCTGTATGCTGGGTATAGTTCATTGCCAACAAAGGATCTCCAGAAACTTAGTATTTCTTCTCTTTTGCTCTGATTTTGCATTGTTTTATTACCCTTGGGAGAACTTTCTTTTCTATCTATGTAAATGTGCCATACAGTCTTGTGTCTCCATTAGTCACCTTTCCAAAGTCATGAGAAGTTTGAAGTGTGTTTAAAAGAAAACTATTTCATTTAATTTTCATATTTAAAAGCAATACCCATACCTTTTTTACTTAGGCCTCAAAACACCTTCAGAAAGATCTCAGCTACAGAGTCGGGAGAATTTCTTTGTTCTACTGAGGGAGAGACAGAGTTTGGCATGAATATCTGAAGTGGCTCAATCAAGGTTATACAGCAAGTCAGTAGCAAAATGTGGGAAAATTACTTGTTTCCTTGGAAAAAGGATGTTCAGTTTTACTCTTGGCCTTACTTTTTTGGCGTTTATAACACAATTACAAAAAACTTTGCAGGATTAGTTAATTCCCTATTTTTTAAAAAGCATTGTGAATTTCTTAATTATAAGTGTTGGCTAACACATGACATTTTAAAATGGAAGATTTCAGGAAATCATACATCCAGTGTAAAATCTTGAAACAGTCAGTAATTATACCATCAGTACAAAAGAGCAGAGAAAAAAAAAATCCAGTTTGTTCTCAAACCCTTTACACTTGTGGCAATGTGAAAACAGGCTGCTGTCAAATAACATCTCCATTTCATAGCATTCTTCACGGTGCCTTTTTTGACAGAGGAGCTGCAGTCCAGCACTAGTTTTATTATTCCTGCAATAATGGGACTCTGATAGGAGTATATTTCATGTCAGTGATTTACTGTCTCTATTACAGTGTGACCTGAAAGCCGTAACTCCTCTGCCAGGGACTGAGGCTTGGAAGTGTTCCAGGGCTGCAGCACAGCTTCCAGGCCAGCTCAGATTCTCTAATCCTGTGTATTTTTCACCCAGTTCAATCATTCTTTGCTTGTGCAGACAGTATCAGAAGTGTTTCATAAAGGAATGGCCTTTGTTTGGGCAGTTCTAATAAAGCCACTGGTGCAACTACAACGTGCACTGAGCTGTTACAGTCTCCATAAGTAATTTTCCTCTTGCTGGTATCATAGGTGGAAAGGCCATTTCTTGAGTGTCAGCACATGAAAGCACTGTGCATATGCTGTACAACACTGTTGATTGGCTCTGCTGGGTTAACATTAAATCCTTTGGTTTCTGGCACAGTGCTTCACAGACCTTAAATAGCATCTTCTCTGTGTTTCAGTGCATGGTCAGTGAGGCTGCCAGTCTAGATATATATAAACCACCTAAACAAAATTATTCCATGCAAGCTATAACATCTTATGAAAGGAAATCGGAAGAGTTACAGCAACTAACAAATTTACAAAGTAAAAATTAAAGTAGCCACAGAAGGATCATGTCACAGGATAGGGACATGCTGCAAGTGGCACCTTAAGGCTCTGGAAAGCAATCAGTTCTAGGCATATCTGGAGGCATCTGACTTTGGGGTCTGATCATGGTTGCAGGATGAAGGCGACAGACATGACTCTCATGACACGTGCCAGAAGAGGGAGTGACAGGATGGCTTTCTCAGCACACTGCGGGATTAGAGGCCACCCGCAGCTTTATTGTATTAACTTGATGGGAAGGGCACAGGTGGGGAAGCTCCTGGATACCACCTGACCCTTGCAGACCTGTGAATGAAAAAAAATGTGTATCTGCTGCTCAGGATTTTAATTTTTGCATAAGGAGCCCTTGGTAGCCATTTGCACTTGGGTCTTGTGAAGCTCAGCTGCCCATTTTCAGGGGCTGCTCACCCTTTTGTGCCCCCAGCATCCCCTGAGCATAAATGAGCATCTTGTTCCGCTGGAATGAGTGTCCAGAAAGCAGTGTGCTCTAGCTCAGTTTTGAGTAATGGATGAAATAGATT